TCCCCTCTCCCCTCTCCCCTCCAGGGCTGTCGTGCCCAGCCCCCTCTGGACCACCTCTCCTCCCCCAGCCTCTGGCCTCATTGTTTGGTTAAAGCAGGACCCCCTGGATGGAACAGATGGACTGAGACCCGGGCCTGGGGGGGAAAGGCCGGGCCCGCGGGTGCCGGGAAAGGGAAGCGGTTTGGAGAAAACAAAACAGAGGGAGGAGCCAGGGAGAAGGTGGCCGGGAAAGGGAGGAGGAGGACATTCGCCGAGAGGGCTTAGGGCCTGGAATGGAATGGGGGCGGGCCCCCGGGGCGCCCTGAAACTAACTTCGACGCTGGCTGGCTCCACAGGTCCGGCCTGACGTCGCTGCCCAGATGGCCTCCAGGCTGACCCCGCTGACCCCCCTCCTGCTGCTGCTGCTGGCCGGGGTGAGTGGCCCCTTCGTGGGGTGGGGGCGGGGGGCTGAGGGTTAACCCTTCGGACTCCGGAGACTGAGAAGAGTCAGGATCAAGTCAGTATGATCCTTGCAGTGGCGTTCGTAGAGAGCCTGGAAAGAGCGGGGTGGGGGTGGGGTGGGGACTCAGCTCCACCTAGGTTCGAATCCTGGCCCGCTACGTACCAGCCGTGGTGGCCTTAGCAAGTCACTTCTCCGAGACAAACTGCCCTGATGTATAAAGTGGAGAATAAAGGAGAAGGAGCAAAGAAGGCAAGGAGATGGAGGACAGCATTTTGTGATATACAAGCGAGGGGTTGTTGTGGACGCTGAGTTACCAGATAGGGGGTTGGCTGCGGAGATACAGGCTCTCCCAAGGCTGGAGCCTGTGAAAACCCGAGGGTGAGTGGTAGCAAACACACCTGGGCCTGAGTGGCAGTTAATCGCAGTGAGAGGTCCCTATGGTCTGGGAGGTCAGGGGGAAGGGCTGAGCCCAGGAGAAGGTGGATGCTTACTCTGGCCTGTGTGTTCATGTGTGTAGAAGTTGGCACCGCAGTGCCCTTTGAGATTCAGCAGGTGTAGTGATGAGCCAGGACCGAGAGAATCAGACCGAAGTTTGACTCCTACTTCATCCTGCTTCTGTGAGACCCTGGGCTAGTTACTGAATATGCCTCAGCATTGGTTTCTTTGATCAGTGAAATGGGATAATGCATGATTTCTCAGCTGGGAACTGTGGACATTTGGGGCTGGATAATTCCTGTTTATGATGGGCTGTCCTGTGCACCGTAGGACGTGCTGCAGTGTCCCTGGCCTCTACCCAATAGATTCCAGTAGCATCTCAGTCCTCCTCTCACCCCCCTTCCCTCCCTTATGACAACCAAAAATGCCTCCAGATATTGCCACATGTCCTCTGGGGGTCAAAATTGCTTTGATTGAGAACCACTGGTCTATACTATTTCTTCCTCTCCCCTTCTTTCCTTCCTTCCTTCCTTCCTTCCTTCCTTCCTTCCTTCCTTCCTTCCTACCTTCCTTCCTTCCTTCCTTCCTTCCTTCCTTTTTAGAATGTATATTGTTTTCAATACCCACTAATGGGTTTCAACCTACAATCTGAAAAACCACTGTTCTAAATCAAAGGCCACGAGCTCAAATAACTATACTGGCCAGGCAGGTAAGCCAAGATGGGCAGATATTTTTTTTTAATTGCAAGAACGTAGATAAATGGCTGTTGACTCTCAGCTCCAAAGTTTGGAGCAATAACAGACTCCTTGCCTGGTCCTCACCTCCTGCAGAGAACATTCCTGCCGCCACCCCCACTCTGCTCCTGCTTTGACCCCTCTCTGAAGGACTTAGTGGTGGTGGCTTCAGGACAGGCCCTTCCCCCACCAGGCTTTTTCAGGAATTATTCTCAGGTACAGGATGTTGTCCACATCCCATCTTCTCTTCTTGCTTTGAGTGTTTGAGGGGACTGTGCCTCATAGAAAAATGGAACTCAGTTTCTTGAACCACAGGCTACAGCCTCCTCTAATCTGAATGGTACCAGCAACAGCTCCACGGATCCAGAGGAATTTTGGCCAGGGGAAAGCCAAGACACCTCAGAGGAAGGGAGCCCCAGGAATCTACCCACTCAACACACCGTAGGCTCTTCCAACATGCCGACAACCAACTCAACCACCCTAAGAGCCAATTCCACCTTGCCACCCACATTCCAGTCCTGCACCCAGCCCACCACTCAACCCATCCAACCAACTAGCCAGCCTACTACTGGGCCCCTCTGCCCGGGACCTGTCATTTCCTGCCCAGACTTGGAGAATCATTCAGCAGAGACCATATTGAGTGAGGCTTTGATGGATTTCTCCGTGAAGCTCTACCACGCCTTCTCGGCAGTGAAGGAAGCTGAGACCAACATGGTCTTTTCCCCTTTCAGCATCGCTAGCCTGCTCACTCAGGTCCTGCTTGGTAAGAACCTGACTGAGTTCTCTCCAGGTTGTATGTTCTCCCCAACCCAAATACCTACAAAGCTATGCCTCAGTGAGGAAGCTGTAAAAATGGGCTACATTTTGGGGGGAGTAGTAATCTTTTTATTCTTGAACATTCATGTATTTCATTTTCATCATTTAACGATGATTAATAGGCACTATTGCTTATAAAACCCTATGGACTATACGGGAACATATAAAACAAGGTCCCAGCCACCAAGTATGGTTCAAGGTAAGACAATAAGGGAGGTGAAACTGAAAGTGATTGATGTAGAGTAGAATCGTGCTGCTTCCTAGCTGTGTGACCTTGGGCAGATCAACTTAACCTTCTGAGCCTGAGTCCTCATGTGTAAAATGGAGATGGTTGTATTTATCTCAGAAGGTTAAGCAGATAGCCCAGTGCCTGGCTTGGTGGGAGGTCAAAAAATGGCAACCTCTGTGGCTTCCTGAGGGATCAGTGTCAAGTCCTAGGGGGTAATTACCCTAGGAATGGCACAAATTGCTGCAAGCCCTGGAGACAGTCACTCCAAGGGAGAAATTCCAGGAAGGCTACTAGAGACAGTAGTACAGTGAGCATATAAGAACCTTTCCTCTGGAGTACCAGAATCTTAATATCCTCTACCCACTAGATGCTGGCAGCAACACCCTGCCCCGTTCCAGATATGACAACCAGAGTGTCTTCAGACTTGCCAAATGTCCCCTGAGAGGCACATTTTAGTTGATGGGTTTGAGTTAATTTCTTTATTGCCCAAAAGATATGGCTTGAAACCTGTCTCAATCCTCCACTTATTAACTCTGTGGTCTTAAACTGAGTAGATCACTTCATCTCTTAAAACCTCAGCTTCCTCATCTGCACAATGGGGATAGTAATTATCCTTATGTAAAAGGGTTATTGTGATTCAATGACATAAAATGGGAGAATCACTTTAATGCCTGGAAGCAAGTAAGTGCTCAATCAGTTTTATCTATTACTGTACAGAAGATGTATACAATAAATATTTAATAATGAATACCTGAAAGGGTATTGAACATCCAATGTCTTTTATGATTCTCTGTTGTCTCCTCTTAATAGTGATCTAGTGTCCCTGCCTAAAAGGTGAACCCGTGTAAACCCAGACCAACTCAATAATAGTTAATGTGAAATAGTGCTTGGACCAGGCTTTGAATGATGAGGGGGATAAAAATCATTGTCTTCCAAAACCACGCTTCTATCTGTGGTGATAATGTGCTCCCCTCCATAGCAGGCAACAACCCCCCATTCCAGCCTGGTCCCTCAAAGCTGGTCCCTAATGGTGGGTCCCCAACACCTCCTGCAGTCAGCCCTCATCTCTACCCTTTGTTGTAGGGGCTGGGAACAGCACCAAGGAAACCCTGGAGACCGTCCTCTCCTACCCTAAGGACTTTACCTGTGTCCACCAGGCCCTGAAGGCCTTCACTTCCAAAGGCTTTACCTCAGTCTCTCAGCTCTTCCACAACCCAGGTGAGTGCCCAGGGAGGGGTGGCAGCTGCTCAGCAGGGTGTCCTGAGGGGATTCTGAGGGGACCCAGAACTGGGGAAAAAAGACAGAGAGAGTGTTAGGGCTAAACCATCCAGGATGGACTGCAGAGCAGGTAAGGACCTCAGCAGACATATCAGGTGGCTCCAGGAGCTGGGTAGTCCCCCTGGTGAGACTTTCAGGGAGACATTTGCATTCATGGACTCTCTTTAGAATGAGTTCATGAATAGATCAGGCTAGAGAGCTGTAGATGTAAACAACAAAAAAATTTTTTTTTTTTTGCTAATCTGGGTTGGGGGAGTCTTGGGGCTCCTGTCTTTGTACTTTTTTTTTTGTATTATATCAATTTGTTGTCATTTACATGTGTTAGATTATTAAGTAGGTAATAAGAGCAATAAACTTCCAAAATGATCTAATGCAGTTCTTTTCAAGTTTTGTTCCCCGGAGCCCTAGGGTTCTGAGGCTAACATCTACTTCCAGAGTCATGCATGGTGGGAGTGGGGGATTAGGGAGGTTGAGTGGGGAGGGGGGTGCCACTTCCTGTGAGAGGGAGATAGAGCCAGTTGGGCTCTGAGTTCCTGCCCAACCTCAACCAGAGCCCTTCTATATTATGGGCTTCAGACATGACTTCATTTGAAAACATAGTTCTGCTGCTTAATGAGGTTTGAAACTACAGATCTAGTCTGACCCTCCCTTTAAATAAGGAGAAATTTTTTTTCTTGTCTTTTTTTTTTTTAACTTATGAAAGCAATACTCATTCGTTGGAGAAACTGAGAAAATACAGAACAGCAAAGAGAAAGGGAGAAAGAAAACTCACCTATCACTCCATTATCTAAAAAAAAAACCCCAAAAACAAAAACACCCTCTTTTTAGAGATGGGAAAATATGGCTCAGAGGTATTTGAGTAACGTTGGCATTTACTTATTTGCTATAAATCAACTTTATCCTCTGTCTTGCTAGGTTGGTGGAAAATACAGCTGCATTCAATATTAGTTATTTAGTCCAGGAAACGTTTCTCTTTCAAACACTATTTTCTTTAGTGGACCTGGGCTTTGGAGAGCAAAAGCCAGGAAGTCTCGTTACAAACTTCCGCTGAGGCCGGGAAGTAGACTCTGTTCCCTCTTTAATGAAGGGGAGAAAAGAGGGAATGTACAGGCGAACGGAAGTTCAGACCTCAGCGTTATCTTGCTGAGCCTTGGTCACATGGCAAGCAGAGGCAGCAAGAGCCTAGGAGGAGGTCTTCCTTCCCAGTTCAGGGTTTGCCTTCTCTGGGCCTCATTGCCACGGTATGAGGAGTGGGCTGGACCCCAGCTCCAATGCGCTGTGTTTATTGAAGTGAGCACAAAGAGTGATGGGATACAAGCTCCCTCTCAAAGCCTGCTCTTGGAAGGGGAGAGGGTGTTCAGGGGACTCATGCCTCCTTCTCTCCACCTGCTCCCCACCCTTCAGACATGGTCATAAGGGATGCCTTTGTGAACGCCTCTCAGAGCCTGTATGGCAGCGGCCCCAGAGTCCTGGGAAATGACAGTGATGACAATTTGGACCTGGTCAACACCTGGGTGGCAGAGAAGACCCACAACAAGATCAAACAGATACTAGACAGCCTGCCCGCCGATACCCAGCTTGTCCTCCTCAATGCGATCTACCTGAGTGGTAAGGGTGCCCTGGACCAGGTCATCTTCCCATCCTGAGTCCTTCCTCCCCTCCTGGCTTCAAGTTCTATGACTGCATCCCATGGTACCTGTCCCACCCCTTGCTAACAGGTATTTTAGCTCTTCCACCTGCATTAGAGTAACTACTCCCCTTTCCTCCAGCCAAGTGGAAGACAACATTTGATAAAACAAAAACCAGGAACGAGCCCTTTTACCGCAAATCCTCTGTGATGAAAGTGCCCATGATGTCCAGTAAGAAGTACCCGGTGGCCCATTTCACTGACCCAACTTTGAAGGCCAAGGTACGTTCTTGGCTCTTCCCGTTCTTGTTTCGGAGTCTCTTGAGTGTCCTGATTTCTCTTCTGCTATGGCCCCGTCAGCTTGGGGTGCACCCTTACTAATTCATCATTTCTATTCCTTCCCTCTGTATTTCCACCCTGTCTTTTCTCTTTCTCCCTTCTTCAGCCTTGACCGAGGCAGGCATTGTATAGTTTAGGCTGGAAAGCAGGATTCTAAAGTTTCTTCACTCATCTCTACTGCATTGAGTGGCAAAAAGTGAGTTGTGTTTCTATGCTGTGCATGTGACGTATGCATGCATGTACAGCATGCGTGTGTATGTGTACACATGTATATCTGTGTGTGTATACATGTGGTCAGCATGCGTGAACATGGGTGTTAAGTGGCTTAAGTTCCTTAGCAGAAATTGAACAGCGTAATTTCAGTGGATGGGGCGGGAGGGAGGGAAGACAGAATATGGAGCCCAGAGGATTCTTGTTAGTAAACTGTCTCATGCCCAGTGATCAGATATTTCGCCTCATTAGGAGACCAAGACACAGACCTGTGAGACAGAAAACAATGGGAAACACACCCAATTGACCTAGTTCCAGGCTGAGAAGTAAAGGCTCTGTCTCGGAACACACTAGGTTTGTTTCCGCTTTGGGGCTGTCCTTCGCTTTCCCTCTGCCTAGAGCCTTCTTTCCTCCGATTTTTACTTAACACGCTCCTTCTGTTCATCCAGGTCTGCTCAGAGGTCACCTTGGTGGAAGGGCCTTTCCCCTCCTTAAAGTAGCCCCCCTTCTCACCCTGTTTTATTATATTCATGATATTTATCACTATCTGAAATTATGTTATTTGCAATTATTTGATTATAATATTATCTATCTCCCTGAGGGATCATCTCTCTCTTTGGGAACCGAGACCTCATCTGTCTTGTTTGTACAACAGTGTCCCCAGCATCCAGAACAGTGCCACATATATATAATAAGTGCTCACGATATGTTTGCTCAGTGAATGAATGAATTCAGAAGAGGGTGTTAGTATGAGAGGCTGGGAAGTCTTCATGGAGGAGGTTGCTTTTCACCATTCCTGCCCTTTTCCACCCACTCATCCATCCCTATTCAGTGAATTTGACCGTTCATAACCATTGAACAAAACCAGAATAGCACATGTGTGAGTCAGAGGACAGTGAATATATATGGCATGTTCAGGCCATCACTCTAACTCAGAGTATATGGAGGGTGGGTATCAATGTGAGGTCTTTTTTTTTAGCTGAGCCATCCTGCCACCTGTTGGCAGCTCAGCAGCAGCTCAGCTTGGGCTGGGAATCGAACCGCTGTTGCTCAGAGCTCACACTCTTGAGCAAGCTCTTAACCAACTGAGCCACTTGGCCAGCCCTAATGTGAGGTCTTTTTGATGCCAAAGGAGCAGGAGTTTTGTGCACAAAAAAAAACGGTATTCACAGTTTCTTGAATTTTAAACAGATACTTCATTTAATGTAATAGTGTTATAAACTCAAAATCAAAGTCTTCCTTAAGCAATTTAATTTTAAGCAAATTTACTACATTATTTATAATAGTTTGTATGTAAAACATTTTCATTTATTCTTTAAACCACTTTGAGCAGATTAAATTTTAAACCATTTGTTCAGTATACAAATATGGTTAATTAATATTCCCATAAGTATTTTGAGCTTATGTGTATACTTTTAAAATATACTTTACAAATTCGTTATACTTGACTTTCTTTTTTAAGCATGTCCTATACCTGACAGGGCAGAATTACAAACCTACTTGGCCATATCTTCCTAGCACCTAAAGCCTACTTGTAAACTGAAAATTAAATTTGAAGAACAAATGAACTTTCACTCAACATCATTCTCAAAGTTAATGATATTATCTCATGCCTTTTTGCCTAAAAGCATAAAACTAGCATGTCTGGTTCTCTTTACAACTATAAGCACTATTTTAAATAATAAACACAGATTATCCTGAATTTATCACATGGTGTTAATACTATGGAGGTGGTTTACTTTGGCACTTCCATACTTAATTCTCAATATTCCTGGGACTCTAGTATTTACCCAACTAAGGGGGTTAGATTTACCAGCTCAGGTATGCTGAGGTTACTGGCTTGGAAATTCAAGACCATAACATGGTACTTTTTGGTTAGAGATTCAAGGTCCATCTGAAGGACTTGAAGGATACATACTGCCCAAATGAGTATACCACAAATGGAGCCTCCAACAGGGACCCCATGTCCATGCTCTTCAGTTGATACTGGTTTACAACCTGATTCTTCTGGGCCATTTTTTCAAATTCCAACAATTGATTGGTTTCCGTTCATTTTTTCGTCACCCAATTGAATTCTGTAGTCTAGATTCCTCTCATCCATCTCAACATCTACCCTTTTAATGATAATGCCCTTTTAATGATAGTCTCATATCCTGTTAGTCTTAAGATTTCTCAACCTTGGCACTATTGAGTTTGGGTTGGATAATTCTTTGTTATGGGGTACTATCCTGGGCATTGGAGGATTTAGCATCATCCCTGGCTTCTCCCCACCAGATGCCAGTAGCATTGTGGCCCGCCCTGTTCTACCTACCCACAGCTATGACAGCCAAAATGTCTGCAAACATTGCCAAATGTCCACTGGGGGCAAATTCGCCCTGGGTTGAGAACCCCTATATTAGACCCATGGGTGCTGCACTTCTCACACTTTTGTCTGGCTATCAGGGAAAGTCCTAATGGCCAACGGGAAAGACAAGCTGGGATCGGCTTGTACACAATCTTGAATGTCACTAAGAGATTTATACTTAATCTCATAGGCAGTCAAGAGCCATCAAAATCCTTTAAAAGGACTGACCTGGTAATTCTGGTGACGCCTTTCACACGTTACATACTTTATGCACAACACACTTGAGAGGAAGGGAACAGGGCTCGGAGTGATCACATCACATGCCTATATTATACAGCTGGTCAGTAGCAGAGTCAAGGTGTGAGCAGAATCTTGTGCTCATTCTCCTGCATTTCACCAAAACAGTTAGACCGGCACTGTTCACCCCGCTGGCATCCCCGCAAGCCTAGGTCTGGCTGCTGCTTGCTGAACTAGCACAGACTGGGGCAGCAGACTGACGGTCGTCAGCCTTGGACGGACCCACAGGGCAGGAAGACTGATAGGTGCATCTCTTGTTCTCCAGGTGGGGCAGCTGCAGCTCTCTCACAACCTGAGCTTGGTGATCCTGGTGCCCCAGCACATCAAACACCATCTCGAAGACATGGAGCAGGCTCTCAGCACCTCTGTGTTGAAGGCCATCATGAAGAAGCTGGAGATGACCACGTTCCAGCCCACTCTCGTGATGCTGCCCCTCATCAAAGTGCAGAGCAAGCAGGACATGCTGGCAGTCATGGAGAAGCTGGGTGAGCCCTGGCAACGCGGGCTTGCTCCCAGGCCAGCAGGGGAGAAAGGGGAGGGGAGTCCCTAAAATAGGGTTAGCCCGGTCTAGAGTGTTTTTCACATCCATAATCTCAGGTTGTCCCTCAGTGCTGGGAGTTAGAGGGGCAGGTGCTATTATCCCATCAGATCATTGAGGAAGTGACTCAGAAAGTTTACATGACTTAGCCACAGTCCTTTGGCTCGTTAGAAGTGAGCCAGAACACTAATCCAGGTCTCCGGCTCTCTCGACTGTTTCCACCATGGTTCATTGTGACATAGACATGGGGATAGGTGACTAAGGTGGGCCATGGATGCTTCTGCCCCAGAGACATTTCACAGCACTCAACCACCGCAAGGAATATGCAAGACGCAATCTGGCAAGAGGGTCTGGAAGCTTCTGAGTTTGGGAGATGCAACAGAGACGCCAATCCCTAACCTTTCTCCTCACCTCCTGATCTTTTACTTCATCCAGATATATCACTTCATTTTCTGTTAAAGAACTTGACCTCCTAGTACAGCGGTTCTCAACCTGTGGGTCGCGACCCCTTTGGGGGTCGAACGACCCTTTCACAGGGGTCACCTAAGACCATCGGAAAACAAAAAGATATTTACATTACGATTCATAACAGTAGCAAAATTACAGTTATAGAGTAGCAACGAAAATAATTTTATGGTTGGGGGTCACCACAACATGAGGAACTGTATTAAGGGGTTGCGGCATTAGGAAGGTTGAGAACCGCTGTCCTAGTAGATGATATCATCCTCTTGTATATGACCTCATCTGATAACAAATGACCTCTTTCTGATATAGTACGTCACTTCCAAAGTCATTGTTGGCAAACAGTGACATCTCTTTTCAGGGTTTTGGGGTGGGGCATGAGGGCAAGGCCCCTCACCACTTGAAAGAAGTTGGTGGTTGGAGTGAAGATGGGCCCACTGACAGAGGATCCCGTGAATTGGATCAGAAGGCGTGATATATATTTTTGATAAGCAAGGAGGAGGAAGAAGACAGTATTGGGACTTGGGACCGACCCAGAAAATTCAGTACAAATGTCTCCACAGCTGAGGGTTTCAGGCTGGTCATTGACTCATTGTTTTTTTCTGGTTATGCCCTAGAATTCTTTGACTTTCCTTACGATCTCAACCTGTGCGGGCTGACAGAAGACCCGAATCTTCAGGTTTCTGCAATGCAGCACCAGACAGTGCTGGAGCTGACAGAGACCGGGGTGGAGGCGGCTGCGGCCTCGGCTGTCTCTGTGGCCCGCAGTTTGCGGATCTTCGAAGTGCAGCAACCCTTCCTCTTCCTGCTCTGGGACAGGCAGCACAAGTTCCCTGTCTTCATGGGGCGGGTGTATGAGCCCAAGGCCTGAGACCTGCAGGAGCCAGGCTAGGGCCAGGCCTGTCCCTCAGGCCTCAGCTCCCCCAGTTACAACCGTGCTGCTGCCTGCCTGGACTTGTCCCCAGCCACCACCCACCTTGGATATCCTCGGTCCTCCACCTGAAGGGCTCCCTCAGGGTCTGGTGAAGGGACCTGCTTCTAGCATCCCTTCCCTGTGACTCTCCAGATCACTTTTTGCAGCTTTCTTTGGTTCAAGTTCACTAGACTCTACAAATAAAACTTGGCAGACCATTACTTCCTCTCATTTGTCTTTCAGTTTTAAAGGACAAGGGCTACCATGCCCCTGTGTCAGCTAGCTATTGCCTTGTAACGAGTCACTCCAACTTAGTGACTTAAAACAACAATCATTTCACCTAAGCCTCGGGGTTGGCTGAGTGGTCTAACTGATCTGGGCTGGACCTGGCTAATATTCCTTGGGCTCGCTGACACATCTGTAACAGTTGGCAGGTTGGTTGGGAGGTGGCTAATCTACAGTGGCCTCCGCTGGGACACATTGGCTATCCTCCACGTCTCCTACATCCTTCCAGCAGGCTAGCCTGCAGTGACAGAGTTCCAAGAAGGGAGTCAGAAACAGGCCGTCTTTTTCACCCCTCTGCACCTCTGCTTGCATCAAGTTTACTATTGTCCCATTAGCCAAAGCAAGCAAGTCGCATGGCCAGACCTGGAGCTGAGCGGAAAGGCACTACAGAGTGACCCAACAGTCATTAATTGGAGGCTATTCATGCAACCCATTTATCAAACTCCCCATCTCCCTTGTCTGTGACAACGCTAATAACAGTAACTAACATTGTAGGGAACTTACACCAGTCGTCTGCTAAGAGCTTCGCAGACATTCATCCTCACGACAACTTTCTATGGTAAATTCTCGGAGAGGCTGTGTTACTCAAAGTCATGCAGTTAGGAAACGGCAGAACTGGGGTTCGAAAGCATGACAAAGTCTAAGCTCATGGTCATCTATTTGTCTGAAAAATCCTGCCTTTATTTGTTCAACAAACAGTGCCCATGTGTCGGCACTAAGCGCAGAGGATGTAAAGATGACTTTAGTGCCTGCCTTCAAAACCTACAGTTCGATGAGGGAGACAGACAGGAAGACACAGTTTTAACCCAGAGTGTTCTGTTCATCTCTGAAGATGCCTCGTAATGTGTGTTTTCCCATTTCTAGTTTATCCTCAGACTCGCTGAGGCTCCATCTCTTAGCCCTTCTACCTCCTTTCCCTTTCTTCCTCCTAATCCCATCTTTTTGTCTCAATTCCCTGTCTACCGGTATTTCTCCTTTTTTCTCCGCCCCCCACTGCGTCTGTTCTTCTCTCTCTTCCCCAAACCCAAACGTGCTGACTGATTTCTGGTTTTAGTCCTTTGAGCTGCTGGTCCTGTCATCCTTGCCCCCACCCCCCAGCTCTCAGCTCTCATTCAGGTTGGCAGCCACAAACAGCCCAGAGGTACGCGTACCCTCCCCGCCATGAGGACACAGGGATTTGGCCATCAGTACACACATTTCTCAAGCATCTGCCCTATAGGGTCTCCACTTAGGTCACGCTAGTCCTGCCCGAGATGTTTCTATGGTATGTTTTCCTTAAGGCCATCAGAGCCATGAGGATAATATGCTCACGTCACTGCTGTCCCCACTCCAGAGACGTCTGCCGCCTGCAGAATCTGGTTTCCTCATCCCCCTCTCACAGAATACCCCGGTGATAAGGAGAAACCGAGGCATGGGGGCAATGCGGTAACTGAGCTAGTTGGGTTCTGCAGCCAGGCTGGCAGCTCTCAGCCATTTGGGTTGGTCCTCTTCTCTGTGGCCTGGGCTGGGTGCCAAGTTCCAGGCTGAAATGCAAGATAAGAGGTGACCCAAGCTTCCAGTGTGCTCTTTCTAGTTCATGCGTGCTCTGGTTGAGGTCAGGGTTTTCTGAGAGGGGAAAAAACGCTGGGTTTGAGGATTGTTTGTGACTTATCCCCCTACCCTGTCACTCATCTACTACCACTGGCTTCCTACTTCAGGACCTGGCTCCCCATGTGGACAAAACCTCAGGATGCCAGGTCCCAGGGAAGAGGCATTCTTCGCAGCTCAGTCTCCCAGCCACAACTGAGAACCAAACAAGAGTCACTCTGATGTGAATTGTAGCTCTGGGGCCATGGCGAGATCACCACTTCACAGTCTTGATTGGCAGAGTGATCTCTGTGTGCCCTTCGCTTCTTAGTGCTCCAAAAGACAGTCTCTCAGGCTGATGGGAAGATGGCAAATTCCTGTCTGGGCTGGTCCCACACTGATTCTTCTGTGAGCAGCGGTTGGAAGCAAATGCACCTCCCGAATTCAGGAAGACTCCCCACTCCTGGGGGAGATCCTGCCATGATGAAATGTGACAGCAAAGTCAGGAGGTGGGAAGAGGTTCCAAACCATGGGCACAGCACTTTGCAAATGTTTTGACCCTTCCCTCACCCCATGCTGTAAGCCAGGCTTTATTCCTAGTTGTGCGATAAGGAAGCTAAAACTCAGAAAGGTTAAGCAACTATCCAAAGGTCACACAGCTGTAAAGTGATCCCATGTCTGAATTCAAATGTATTCGGTGGCTTATTTGGCCACGCTTATTTCCTTTCTGCACAAACCAAACTATAAATCAGTTCTGTTTTATCTTATGCCCTGTACCATGTGCCCCCACCAAGCCTATTAAAGTGCTTTACACTAAAAAAAAAAAAAAATCCATCGAGTGAATGAATGAAGCACCACATCCAGGTAGGGGGAAAGAGAAGATTTGTATTCACCTGGAAGAAGAGAAAATCTGGAAGTGAAGAGCATTTAAATATGTTCTGTTCTGAGTCTTTTCTTATAAGACGGTTTGTGTCACTTTTTTTTTTGGCTTGTTTGTTTAAAACAATAAACATTTGTTTAGCTCATGAGTCACTGAGCCTGTGTGGGTGGCAGGTTTAGGGTGGCCTTGGTTATGTGGCTGCTGTAGTCAGCTGGGGGCGTAGCTGGGAGGCCTGATGAGGTTTGGCTCTGCTGAGCTTGGACGTTCTTTCACATGTCTTGGGCCTTGGCTGGGATGAATCAGAGACCATTTGGTCTCTCATCTTCTAGGGGGCTAGTCTGGTCTTATTCATATGCCGGTGGCCCGGATCTAACAAAGTGAGCAGAGGCACCCAAGAGGCACTTCGCTCTTGAGTCTGAAGCTAGAAGGTAAGATAACATCACTCTGTCTCGTTCTATTGGCCAATGCAAGTCACCAGACCGGCTTAGATTTTTAAAATCTCCACTTTTAAAGAAAAAACCTGCAAAGTCACTCTGCAAAAGGCATGGATATAAAAAAACCTGAATAATTGTGACCACTTTTCCAATCTGCCATAATGGTCTTACATATTTGTAGGGAAGCATTAGCAACTTTCCCCAGCAACTTGCTGCTTTGAGATTTTCCTTAAAGAATCAAGAGCTTTTTGTCTATAGCATAATATTAGTTAGAAACGATTTATTATGTGAGTTGTTTGCATGTAATTTTACTCTTTCTTTTCTGCTCTCTGGCATACTTAATTTAACAACCCCTGTTTCTTCCACCTGCCACGTGTCACTTTTGAGAAACAGAGGGCCATACACTCATAGACACACACACACACACACACACACACACACACACACANAGACACACACACACACACACACACACACACACACACACACATATATCTAAGACCCCCCGCCCTCCCACCCTGCCCTGCCCTGCCCTGCAGTAGTACCCTGGGATAGAAAAAGTTCCAGTAATCGGCTTCCCCTCCGGAAGGACACAATCCTTCTCACGTGGTTTGGTTGAGGGTGTCCTGAGAAAGAACACTGGTGGAAGGGTCCATTGCAGTTAGTCACTGCTGCCACATGGTGTCGCTGTTGAAACTTTGTCTTGCATAGCCTTTTGGACACATAACTTCCTGTGAGGTTCCAAATTCTTAAACAACCACTGTGGGGATTAAACTTTCATTCCAAAGTTTACAGTTCACACTCATTCAGCCACTGTGTCCCAAAGATCAATACCTTCAGGTTCTGCCTGGACTCTGGAAGGCTTCTGACCTGAGCCACACTGTGTTGGAACCAGCCTCGTCCCTACCAACACTTAGGGCCAAGGTAGAGAACCACAACAGCAGCAAAACTATCTAACACGCATTGAACACTTACCAAGCTGTCAAGTGTGGCTGAGAATTTCATGGATTATATAATTTCATTTAAGGGGAGATGACACCTTACAAAAGGACATGTTACTTAAGACATCGAATAATTCAAGACTTATGCGTACATAATTTGACACTATATTTTCCAGAAGAATAATTATAAAAGGTAGGGAGAGGAATCTTCAACCTCTGTAGAATGTTTTTGCCTTCGTGCTATTTTGTATTTACCAAATACTAAAATCTCTGTTTCACAGAGTAGGCACTTCTGAGTTAACTGCTTGGCATGTTATGACAGTTATTTGGGCTTTTTCATAGTGTCTTGTAATATCTAACTTCCATTACAAAGTTATTGATTTTGGAGAGTGTTTTTTGGCACTCATACCATTTAATGAACTCTAAGATAATATCATTCTAGGATACAGAAACTATTTTAAATGACAATGTTGAATATTAAAATAACAGCACATTAGTCATTAATGTCACGATCAGAAGTGATGACGAACATAAACAATAGCCTGATTCACAGGATATGAACATTGACGGCAGTTGTTTGCTTTTGCAGCTCAAGTGACGCTGTCATGCGGCAATAGTCTAAACGGCCTACAACCCACTCGGCACACCAATTATGAAATCAAGCAACCCTGATGATTTTTCTTAAATTTAGGGGGATTTGCAGTTTTTCACATTTGCATAATTCAAATTTACATAATATGTGATCGCACCACACCATTTTCATCTCCTTTTTGTGGAAGAAAAACGAAGCATTAGAGAGCAATTAATCTACTCCTTCAAGGTCTCATCAGCCGTGAGTAGTGGAGTTGGGAGCCAACCCCAGTGCTTGGTAATTTAGATTCCATCACTCAACGTAATTTTATTTTAGAGAAGTTACTGATAGTTTTTGTTTTAAGCCTTCGTTGAAATTATTCTCATCCTTCCCAAAAGCTCTCTACAATTTTGAATCTCTGGAGGAAATGTGGGGGAAATAGGAATTCCCCTTATCCAGAAAAACCTGTATGCAAAGTGGGACAACTCCTCCGTCCTGAGCTGCTTTGACCACCAGGGACCTTTGGGGGTGCTATTTCTTCCCT